CGCCCCCGCACCCGGGGGGTGGGTCACATCCTGGCTCCCCCGGCGGGTCCCCCCCCCCCCCCCCGCCCCCCAACCAAAGAGAATCCGCAGGATGGAAACGCTGGCTGGGCAAGAGGGCCGGGACCGGGGCCTGGGCCTCCCTTGCCCCCCACGTACTTGTCTGGGGAGGGCTTGTACCAGGCGAAGGACCCTCCCGAGGAGCCTGGAACGGAGAAGCTGCCTGAGGGCTGCCGGTATGACGGGGTCTTCTCTGTGCCGCTCTGGGAGGAGGAGATGACACGGGGGGTCTCTGGGAAGCTGGCAGGCCTAGAGAAGGAGAGAGAGCCCTGAAGGCCAGGAGCCAAGCCCAGGAGTCATGCAGGCCTCCTGCCGGGCCCTGGACCAGGCAGAGGCCGGATCCCTCAGGGGCCACAGCAGAGCACACGCCGCAAGGCTCCAAGTCCCCCAAGCCGCCCTGACGTGGAGCCTGCAGGCTAGCCCAGGGACACTGGCAGTCGCCCCAGCTCTCAGCGGGCATCGAGGCCTCCCTTCCTCCTCCTCACCTTTTGCCCTGCAGGGGCTGGGCCTGGCGGTAAGGGTTCAGGACGCTCTGCTTTGGGGTCCTGGTGAGGGACTGAGACTGGCCAGGCCCTGGCTGCTCAGCCCATTTGGGGGGCTGGGAGGAGCCATGGGTGGCAGAGCCACTCCACTGCCAGGCTGAGTTGCTGCGGTACGGAGGCCGGTAGCCCCCAGGCAGGCTTTCGGGTTCCCCCCGGGGCTCCATCGTACTCGTCTTCAGGGATTCGGCCCACCCTCTGGAAAGAGAGAGAGAGAGAGAGAGAGAGAGAGAGAGAGAGAGAGGGAGAGAGGAGACGTCTCTGCCTGCCCAGCCTCGCAGGGGCCAGGAGGTATGCAGGGAAGGTGCAGACATGGCCAGCCGGCTGGCCACCCACCCTCAGGACCTGCCCAGGGCCCTTGCCCGTGAGGCCCAATCCCAGGCCCCTCCTGGCTGCTTCAGGTGCCTGTCAGGGAGCCCAGCCGCTGCAATGCCTGGCAGGCGGGCATTGTTGCCCCCCCACCCCCAGCCCCTTGCTGAACCTTTGGCCAAGCAGGTGCCCAAAGGGGCCTCGTCTGCGGGAAGGGGAGGAGCCCCCCTTTCTCCGGTACCCTGTCCTGGTGGGCGGGAACGCAGCGTCTGCCGAGGTTTCCTGCACCGCTCACAACATGCAGCTCTTGGCAGGCGACGCCTCTCAGCTCCCAGCCTGGGAGACGCCTCAAAGCCTGGGGCAGCTTGGCAGGAAGGCACCCCAGGCCACCTCAAGCTTCCAGCCCCGCCCGGCCCCCCCCCCCCGCCCGGCCCCGCCCCCCCCCCCCCCGACTCCAGGCAGGAAAAGAGCCACCGGACGTCACCCCCCAGCCCAGCTGCCACGTGGGAGCCGTGCAGGATCCTGCCCTGCCTACCCTGAAGGTGACGGGGCTTCCTGCTGCCTCGACTTGCTTCGCAAACCACACCTGGAAAGCCAGGCAGGAAGCTGGGAGCTGGGTGGGGGCACCCCCTCCCCCTTCACTGTGCAGGTTTCCTCTGGACTCTCAGGGAGGCTCAAGAGAGCGGGGGAGGGGGAGCAGCGTGATAACTGGAGAGTCAGGAGGAAGCAGGGGAGGGCCGAGCCCCAACCCTTCCCCCTCCTCACGGCCTAACAGGTTTGAAGCCTGGAGGATGCCACCTCGGCCTCTGGGCTCGCCTCCCTCCACGGGCACTTAGCGGCTTCTTGGCCCGGATCCAAGGCAGTGGCACCGTGTCCTAAAAGGCAGCCCCAGACGGGCAGAGCAGCTGCACCCTGAGCCCCAGGGCACCCACAGCCCCTCTTTCCGACCTGAGGGGCCATTGGCCGGCCACCCTCTCTTTGGTTCCAGCAGCTTCCCGCTCTGAGCCAGAGTTTTGCCCAGCCAGCCCTGGCACCTGCCAGAAGGTCCGTTGCTGCCACCGGTTGCCGAAGCCAGTCACCCCAACCGATTCTTCCCCAGGGGTGCCCCTCTCAAAAGGCACCCTACTTCTCCCGGAGGGTCCCGGACCAAGCAGGGACAGCCACCCAAGAGGGGGATCGCAGCCCAAGAGAACCAACCCAGCAGAATAAAAGCCCCTCCCTGAGGAGCTCCAAACTCCCACCAAGACCAGGAGCCAGTTGGCCAGGACTGGGGGCGTGGCAGGGTGACCCCCCAGGACAGACCTCCTGCCCTACACAGGGCCACCTGCTGTACTGCACAGGCCACGGGGCCAGGTGGGCCCAGGTTATGCAGAGGCTCAGTTCTGCTGCCGGGGATTTCGCTTGTCTCTGGCTGAGCCAACAGGGCCCCTGTTGGCCCCTGGCTCCTCCCTCCTCTTGGGGGCCCCTGGCTCCTTCATCCTGCCTAGAAGCCCAGAAACTCACCTTCGTGGAACGCCGTCCTCGTGTGGCGGAATGACCACCACTTTCACGGTGACGGAGGTGCGCAGCCAGTCAATCATCTGGTCGTGGCTGAGGGTAACCACAGCCACCTTGCAGATCTCCACCAGCCGGCTGCCCTGCCGCAGCCCTGCCTGCCAGGCGAAGCCGTAGTCCTCCACCTCGGCCACCGTCCCGTCAAACTTCACGTGGAAGCCCAGCTGGCCCAGCCCATTCCTCCGCAGGGTCATCTCCACTGTCTCGGCACCAGAGGTCATGACCTGGGTGAAAGCACACAAGCCCAGCCGGGGTCAGAAGCGCCACTTCCCATCCAGAGTGGTGTGGGCATCTCACCCAATCGGTGGGCAGGGGCGCTACTGACCCTCAATCTCTGCACAATCTCTTTAACTTCTTCAGGATTATTTTCCGGGGCCCGGATAAAAATATGGTCCCCCCGTCCATAGAAAATTTTGAGGCTGCAGCTGTCCGGTGTCCAGCCGATCACGTCTGCGCAGAAGCAGTTGAAGACCACTTCCTTGGTGGCCAGGTCCAAGAGGGCCACAAATTCATTGGAGATGCCCAGCAGACACTCCATCTCCATGCCCTGAGAGTAATCCTGGGCCAGAACGCGCCACACGAGGGCCCCTGCGCTCTGCTGCTCAGCCCCAGCCCGGGCCCTCGTCTTCTCCCTCTTCTTAGAGGCCAGGGAGATCAGGTTGAACTTCCCCGTGGAGTCGATGGGGGTACTGGTGATGCTGTTCTCGGCCAAATCTTTCAGGTACTCGTGCCGCGTGCGCGTGGCCATGGCATGGAACTTGTCTGACTTGTGGGCAGCATTCTCGGCGTTGATCACCTTGGCAAGCAGGAAATCCCGGAAGACGTCCGACTTGTGGAAGGTGGCTGGACTGGGGATGGCCGGCCCAAAGGGGGGCACGTCTTTGGAGCGGGTCACTGCCACACTTGGGACATGGAAATGAGAACACAGGCCTGTGGCTGAGACTACACAGGCCGCTGCGAGGCGACTCCTCGGCCATCCCCTGTGGGCCAATCTCAGGGAGCAGGACCGAGGCCCACTTCCCCCCGCAGCCCTGCTCCTTCCCTGACCTCTGGAGAGCTGAGGGAGTCTCACTAGAGCCAGGAGGCTCTTCTCCGCAAGTGGCCACGCCCAAACTCTGCCCGGAGCCCCCTCCCCCCCCCGCCAGCCTTACCTGTAGCGGACGCTCTCCGTGCAGGGACTCTGGGCGCAGACGATGACGAAGACATGCTGGAAATGAGAGCGGACGTTCTGGGGGGTGAAGGGCAAGGCCCCCGGCTCCTGGAAGATGATGGTGACGATGTCGTTCCCAATGTGTCTCTTCCGCAGCAGCTGGGAGGGGAAGGCAGCACTTGAGGGCCGGGGAAGAAAGGCCCGGCCCAGCCAGAGGCTCAGGAGACCAGGACGAAACATGGGCCAGTGGGGTGGGGGTGGGGTCACTGGGCAAGAGAAAAGGGCCAAGGTCACTCAGTTGAGCCCCACCCCACGGTTCTGCCTGTGCCGTGTCACCCTCAAGGCCAGTCTCCCGGCTCCTCTGGGCCGGGCCCCCACCTGCCCTGCCCGGTACCTGCTGCCTGTTGTTGGGGGTGTAGGGGAGCATCGTGGAGACGTGGAACATGATCTCGTAGCCCTGGTAGGTCGTGTAGAGGGAGTGGGTGCCGGTGGAGTCCGCTGCAAGGGAAGCAGTGGGGGGAGGGGGACGACTCAGCAGGGGGGTGGGGTCCCTCCGAGGGCAGACACGGAGTCCTGCCCTGCCAGGCCCCCAACCCCCCTCGGCAAGGACCTACTTTTGGTGTCCAGCTGCGCGGCATATTTGCGGAAGCCCCTCAGGCAGACCTTCTCCCCCAGCAGGGCCAGGAACTCCTCAAAGGCTGGGCCAGCCTCCTCGTTGTTGTACATCTCCTCCTCTGAGCTCTGGCCGGCCTTGCAGTACAGGACGCCCACCTTATGTTTCCAGCAGAGCTGGAGGAGAGAGAGGCAGGGAGAGCCCCCTCAGAGCTGGCTGGGGCCCAAGCCCAGGGGGGATGCTTGGGAAGGGGGCTCTGGGAAAGAACGGGGCCTTCCTCGGCCACGGGCAAGAGGAGAAGCCTTCCACCCCCCACCCCACCCCCCGGTGGGCTTACTCCTTGCTCGTCCAGCTTCCGCAGCTGCTCAGAGACATGGGGCGCAGTCGGGGCCAGGCGCAGGCAGTGCGTGTTCAGCTGGGGGACCACGTGCTCCAACACGTCCTTCAGGGGGATGCCACGGACGGTGCCGTGCTTGGTGGTGGTGGGCGTGGCATCTTCTAGGATGGCACCGCGGAGGGTGGTCAACTACAGGGCCCAGAGAGAGAGGCAGGAATGACGCTCGGCCCAGCCCAAGGGCCCCCTGGACTCCCCTCTCCTGGCACGGCACAGCGGAGGGCTACCCAGGGGAGGGTCCTGCTTGGCCAGAGAGCATCCTCTTCCCCAGGAGCACCTTGTGCCCAGGGCCAGCGGGCCACGCCCTCTACACGGGGGCTGAGCGTGGGCTGGGGAGGCCTCAGGGAGGAGGGGCAGAGCCATCAAGCCAGACTCAGAAAATTCCTGGACAGACTTCCAGAACAGTGCTCTAGGCGGGAGAAAAGGGTCTCTAGAGGAAACCCCCAACCATCGGAGAGCTAGAAGGAGCCCCAGGATCGACCCTGCACTCTCCAGGACAAACGGCTTCATCTCTTCGCCTCACTGCCAGCCAGCAAAAGCCCAGAAGCTTCTTTGGTCTTCCAACAGGAAATGTGCAGGAGCAGGAAGAGTGCTGGCCCCACCCACTCGGAGACAAGGCCCCTTGGCCCTGGAAGGAACCCCTGACCCTAACCCCCCCCCCCATCCGAGATGCCACATGGAGACGGCAGCCCCTTTCACTACTTCAGACTGTTGGCCAGCGTCCAATGCACTCGGCCGCTGCCAATGGGACGCCTGGGGTTTTCAGGGGCCCCGAGCGACTCGGATTGCCCGTGGGAAGTTTAAGCTGCAGGGCCAAAGGGCCCTCAGCACCTCACAGGACCCACGCGGGGCTCAGCCTGGGCTTCCTTCCCTTTCAGCGGAGAAGTGCTGGACACAGCCGAAGTGCCTCCCCCCGAGAGAGGAACTGGCACTACCAGCTTCACTGCCACACCCCCTGCTGGCTCGGCCGGAGGGGCTTTACAAGTAGCCCGCTCCGGTTGGACAGAGTCTAAACCCCACAGGCTGTGCTTGCTTCCTCGTGGCAGCTCCGACCAGGAACTCCACCGCTAAGCAATATGTGGCATCGCATCGCTGGGCTGACTTGTGACAGAGTTCTAGGAGTCCTGGACGCGGATCCTTAGACAAGTCCCGTCCAATTGCGGCCTCCTGTGCTCACGCGATTGTCTCTCGTCACGTCCTGCCGGCTTCACCAGCGAGTTTGCTTGCCAGGAGGCAGCAGGGATGGCAGTTGCAGGGGCCCAGGAGGCTGCGATGGCCAAGCGCCCAAACCGCGATCTCGTGACTGTGGGATACCGCAGTCGCCACAACCACAAAGACCCACAAGCCCCCTCATTCAGGGCATTATATCTTCAAACCGTCGCTGAACAAGTGGATCTCTTGTATAGGATAAACCAGTCAGACCCCACCCTTTGAGGAGGGTCCATAGGGACGAGAAGGGTAGCAAGGATGGTCAGGATGAGGACAGAAGCTGCCTGCTGCAAAGAAGGGGGACCTCAGCCTGGCACGAAGCCCAAGAAGGGCCGGAAAGAGACCCACCGTCATTCCAGAAGGGAGCACGAGGGAGGACAGAGCTCCGCCAGGGATCCCAGCTGAACGTTGCAGGAAAAGGATGAAGACGACGAACTGCCTGCCAGCCCCGCCTCTTCCGAGAGGGTCAAGCTGGGGAGGCTTTGGTATGGAAGGGGGACTGGACGCCCTGGCCACGGGGATCCCTTTCCGTGGCGGGATCTGAAGCCTCAGGCAGGAGAGCCTCTCAGCCACATTCCCAGGGACCAACCGTCCGCCTGGCGTCCTGGCAGGACAGCAGCCGGGAGCAAGGGCACGTCTTGGGCCAGCTGGATGGGTCTCCTGCCCCTTGAGCCTCCCCGCACTAGGAGGGGGCGCATCTCCCAGCCAGTCTGGGAATTGACGGGGCTCAAAGCCCACTGAGATCTTTTTAAAACCCACCACATTCCAAACCCTGCAGCTTCTGCCTCTCCCAGCCCCGCTGAGCTGCAGGCCCTTCGGTGGCCCAAAGCCACAGCAACCTACCTCGCTGGTGCGAAAGATAATCCTGTACTGGTACTGAGGCCCGTAATCCCGATGGTCCTCCAGCTTCTCACGCCTGATGCTGACCGCCACAGGGCCCAGCTTCTCATCCACCCCAAAGTAGTTAAAATGTTCTGATGGGGGAGAGAGGAAGAGGGGGGAAAGCTGGCTGTTCATCCCGCCCATCCTGCCCTCAACGGCCCCGTACTTCCAGCCCTTCTTTACCAATCCTCGGCAGAGGGGCCCACCTCCCTGCTCAAAGGCTCCTCCTGCAAGGCTGAAACTTGGCTGCCCAGCTAAGCCAAGGAACAGCCAAAAGGCAAAAAGGGCATGAGGGGGAAGCGGGGGCTGCACAGGGAGGGAAAGGAGGAGGAGATGAACCCACCACTTTGGAATTCAGGGTTGCTGCCTCCATTCATGCTGGCATATCCTGGGATCAAGCCTCATCCTCAACTGCCCACCTCCTCAGGGGCCACTCACCCCCTAGTGCCCAAACGGCAACACCCCAAAGTGCCAACCTTTGCCAGAGAAGTAGTCCCAGTAGTACCGGGCACCCAGGTCCACGTGCTCAATGTTGTAGTGCTTCAACCGGCTGAGACTTTGCTGAAGCTCCTGCGGCGTCTCGAGCACAGAGATGCTGGCGTTTGTGCAGTAAGGGGCAGGGGCTGTCTCCACCAAGCCCCCCTCCCCACAGCCACCCATGGAGGCAGATGAAAAGCTAATGTTGCGCTCCCCCTCGCCTCCAATCTCATTGCGGAAGTGAGGGCAGCTGAGTAGCAGACTGTTGCTGTTGTTGTCCCCTGGATCGTGCTCCAGATTCTCCTTGGAGTTCAGGTCCTCAAGGCTGAAGAAGGTGCTGGGTGGATCCAGGCCAGCCAGGCCGCCGACGGCAGCAGCAGCTGAGCCTGCGGAGGCAGCCGAAGCCCCCGTGGTGGTGTTCCTCCGCTGAGCCACACAGACCCGCTTGGCCATCACCTCATTCAGGTCAAAGAGCAGGCTCTGGACGTCGTAGTGGGCCAGGCTCTTCGGGCACAGCCAGCCCCGGCCCACCTCCTCCCCCTCCCCCAGGGCCCTGCTGCCGTCTCCCTCTGCCCGGCCACTCCGCAGCTTCCGGAAGATGGAGTCCCCCCCACCCCCCTCTGCCCCCCGGAGGCCCTTCTTGCGGGGCTTCTCCTTGGGGTGAAGGGGCAACCCCGGTTCTGGCCGGGCCTCTGCCTTGGCGTTCCTGGCGGTGTGCAAGGGATCCACCAGCCGCTGCCGCTGACTAGTCGCTGCCTTCCCACTCCGGAACTCCTTCAGCATCTCATAGAAGCTCTGCTCGGAGAGGCCCTGCGCATCGATGGAGGATGTGCTGCCGTACTCACGGAAGAGCGGGAGGCCACCGGCCAGCTCCACCGCGGCTTCCAGGTCGCACTCGCTCAGGGTGACCTCACTGTTGCTCCTGTTCCTCAGTGCCAGGAATGCCCTGCCGGGAGAGTGCGGCCACCCATCCTGGAACTCGGTGTCCTTGGACCTCCTCCAGGCCAGGCGCCGGGAAGGTCTCGGCCCCGAGGAGAAGGCGGCCTCCCTGGGTGGCTGCCCGTTCTGAAGCTCCCACAGCATGGGGCCCGGGGCCTCTGGGGCCTTGGCAGCACCGGAGGCAGCTGGATCCTTCAACCCTTCTCTTTTGGGGGGCCAGTCAGCAATCCGGGCCCGCACGCCCATTTTGGGCACAGCAGGGGTTGTGGTGGCCGGTCGCAAAGGGGAAGCATCATCCACATGTGGGGCGCAGCCATTCTGGGGCCAGGATCCTGAAGAGGGGTAATCGCCCCCTGTGTGGTCCAGGCCCCCCACGTCGCAGCTCTCAAGCACAGGCCGATACGCTGTCATAGTCTGGGCCTGGAACAAGGTGGGGGGCTCAGGGCAGCATTGCCCCCAGCCTCAAGGCCCAGTGCTGGAAGAGGACGAGAGCAGATGGGCTTCCGTTACTCCAGCCGTAGGAACCATCCTGAAAGAGAAGGCGAAACGGCGTGAGCCTTGGCGCTCTGGGGCAGAACGTGGGGCAGGCCCACACCGCTTTGGGGAACAGAGCCGGGGATCGCTCTTCCGCAGAAGCTGAAATACGGGAGTTGCAATGTGCTCCTCCGTGACAATGAGCACAGCCAAACTCCCCCAGACTGGTTTTATCCAGGGCAGCCCTCGCCCTGCTAAGCAACCAGAGGGAGGGGAGGGCTGGTTTGGCCTGGAGATTGTGGCGCACCAATTCCCCCTAAGTCTGGAGGCCAAAGGATGACCCGTGAATGTCCCAAGGCAGGCTGGGGACCGGCTGGGGGGCTGCTTTCCTTGGCCTGCGTGGAGCAAAGCATCGCGTGTTTGTGTGGGAGTGTTTCTGCGTGTCAGCTCTCCTTTCGGACTCATTTCTTCATTTAAAAGATCTGCACAGTCACCTTCTTTAATCACAACTCTGGAACATCCCACAACAACACAACTGCTATACTAGCAACTGTCAACTCATAAACTATTTCTATGGCCTTTTTAGAATTGCCCACAGAAAGGCACGGGGGGGGGGGGGGGGGGTGCAGTGGGGCAGCTTGGAAACCGAAAGTGCTTCCCAGAAATACTTTTCAAAGACAGTAACTAGGTGACTGAAGTTTCTGCCCTGCAAAAGTCTAACTGGAGAACATGGCTGATGATTCCTGGCGTTTTCTCCAGGATTGGAATACAGCAACGGTGGTCACTGTGTGCTCACCAGACGGAGGCAGCCCGGGGCTGCAGCTCGGTTTTCTCCACTGAGGAGGCCCTTGGAAGCCAGGCAGGAGGCAAAGGAACCTCCAGGGACCGGATCCAGGGCGGAATCCCGGAAGCAAAGCCCAAGGCACCCGCCGTCTCCCCTAGAGGCATCCCTAGCAAAAGGCTTGACCTGCTCCAGGCGTCAGGATCCTGGCCATCCATCCAATCCAGGGCTTCTTGCCTGACAAGGGGATCTAGGCAGAGTCCATGGTGGCCAGCAGGCCATTCCAGCTGCTTTCAGTCCAACCCCTTCCCAGAACCAGAGTTGCTCCCTGAGGGCAGAACCACAGGAGGACCCCTCCCCCCATCCTGGAGTGGGCAGTGAGGAGCCCCTGGTTGGCTCACTCAAACCCGGAAAGCATCGGCTCCTTTCACCAGCCGGTCCCGAGAGCTTCCGAGGGGGTCCTCGAAAGGAGCAGAGGGCAGAGAGAAGGGGCGGCACCAAGGCTGGCCTGAATCCATGCGTGGAGGGAAGCCAAACCCCCGAAGAGGCCTGGCCGGGCTGGGGAGAGGGAGCCATGCTGGACCCAACCTCCTCCCACCTCAACCTGAATTTGGGGTGGGAGGCACCAGAGCAGCAACATTCAAGGGCAGGAAGGATCGGAGTTGCAAACTGGCAGGCTGGCAGGCAGGCAGGCAGGCGCGTGGGCCGCTTCAGCTGCTTGGCGGGTCCCTGGCAGTGCACCCCACTCGTCACGAGTCCCAGGCAGGCTGACCTGGGGGGCCTTCTGTTCCTTCCCACCGATTCCTCTCCAGCACAGAACTTGCTGCTCTGAGTGGTGGGTTCTGCCACCTCCACCCGGCCCTGCCTGCCTGCCTGCCTCTCCCTGACCCACAGCACCCGGCCTCCAAGGAGGCCTGATACGCATGTTTAACTGATAGGCACCACTAGCCCTAAAGGTGGCAGACAAAGAGGAGGAGCTGCATCTCGCCAAACTCTCTAGCAATTGGTGCCCCCGGATCTCCTGCCAAGCAAGCCAAAGGCTGAGTCGGACAGAGTGAGGCCGTCGCCTTCTTGAAAGAGGACTCAGTGGGCATCTGGGCGTCTTCGGAGCAAGCCCAGGGAAGGAGTGGGTCCTGAGCCTTTCTCGTCTCTCCAGGCCAACCGCAAACGCCCGGACCTTCCAAAGCAGCCAGGCGGCCAATGTGCCAACATGAAGCCTCTTCAACAGACTCTGCCGCCCAGGAATCTAAGGGAACAGCTGCCCAGGGGGCAAAGAGAGCCCCACTTGGCTGGGGGATCCCCGATTGTGTCTCTGGAGGAGCAGGCAAGCCGAAGCCTCTGAGGGACCTGCGTCCAAGAAAGGGAGCCCGCTGGCCTGCCGGGCCTCTCCTCCTCCCAAGCAGCCAGGCCAAAGGTCCCAAGGCTGTCCTCAGGGCCCTGGGAGCAGCTCTTCCCTCCCACCGGTTGGGGCTGCTCCCTCCCTCCTCCCCACAAGACCCCACGTCCTCTTTGCTGGGAAGCAGCAGCAGCTTCCGGCCAGAGCCCAGTCACCCCGTTCCTCATGCTGGTGTTTGGGGGTGGGGAGGAGACTGCCCAGCCTGCTGCCCGCTTTTCTGGGGCAGAGCCAGTTACCAAATTCAAGGGGCAGATTTGCAGCAGCAAAGCGACTGCGGCTCCGAAGCCTCAGCGGGGGGGCACAGGCAGGCGAGGGATGGGGAGCCCTGCCCTTTTCCCAGGGTCCCCCAAATGCTGGCTACCCTGTCAGGCACGTCTCCAGCAGCCTTGCACCAGCTGGCCAAGAGAAGGCCGGCCCCTCGGTAGCCCTGCAGAGCCAACCTAACCACGGTCCCTGATCAGAATGAGGTCTTGGGGGGAGGGGCGGCTTTGGAAGTTGCATCACAGGCTTCCCCACCCCCCACCGATGGTTTCAAGGCAACCTGGCTGACGCTCGGCTCCTCCTGCTGGCTGCCTTTAGCCACTGCACGGGGCCTTCCTTCTGCTTCACCAGGGACCCTGCTGAGCGTGAGGTCACTACCTGGGCTGGGCCAGAGACTGCTCCCCCCCCCGCCCCCCAATTTCAGGGCTGCCGGAGTCTTTGCCGCCCAGCAGTTGGGGAAGCAGGTCAGCACCTCTGGGGTGACCAGAAGAAGCAAGGAAACCCTAGCAAAGAGCCTGGAGAGTCTCTGGGGATGCTCAGGAACTGGGGGCACTGAGCCGTCACGTCTGCTGCTCCGGAAAAGGCCCCCTTCAAGAGCTTGCTGGGGGTCCCCTGGCCACCTTCAACCAGAGGACGGGAGGGGGCTGTCAAAGGAGCACCTCACAGGGACCTGCACTTTATGCTCTCCTGGAAAAGGACGGGGGTCCCAAGCAGACCCCTGGCCCCCCTCTTCATGCCAGGTGCAAGCCGTGGAAGGACAGAAGGAGAGAGAGAGAGACATACACACACACAAAAGGAGGTACGGCGCCAATTGTAGTGTAGACCTGCCGGACAGGAGAAGAGTCTGCCCCCTCACCCCCCCACCCCCGGGAAGAGAAGGGCTCTCCCTGCGGAGCTCTTGGGGCTGCTGGGTTCCCTCGCAGGCGTTTCAGTGCTGGACTGGGGAGCGTCTCCCGTGCTTGGAAGAGCAGATCCTGGAGCCCTCAGAAGCAGGAGCTGCCCTCTCGGTTTTAAAGGCCAAGCAGATCTTATGATGGTCTACCAAGAGCCCACCACACCCTCAAGGGACAGCCCCCGTCCCCGAGAGGAATGACTTCTGGAGTTTCTGGGTTCGGGGATGCCCAGAGTTTGGCATAAGGGGAGCGACCACTTAAAGACCTGCATGCAGCCCCATAAAGAGACCCCCCCCCCCCGCCCCCCGAGAGCAGGCATAACACAATTCTGCCCTCCTAAAATTTGTTTCCCTCCATCCGGGCACCACCAGCCTTCAGGCACAGCTCCAGCTCGCCCGCATATGGATGACCCCTACAGATGCCTCTCTATCTAAGCTGGCCTTCCTAATCTAGTTGGCTGCAGCAGTGAGCAAAAAAGGTCCCAGTCACGTTAGTTAGAGGATTACCGGGGAAGGACGGGGGGGGGTATGGGGGGGCAGTAACAGGAAGCCCAAGAGTGAGCTTTGCAGGCGGGGCGGGGGGGGGTGCAGGTGTTGCTCTTGGTTAAGAATATGGTCATTGGGACCAGGAGGCACAACATCACGAGACACGACGACTCACTGGCGGCACCTGCCAGCTTCCCCCTTTTGCTTGTCAGAAGCTGAAAACTGCAAATAGCGACCACGTGCCCACAAAACGTGGCACCCAGTGCCCAAATCAAATCACGTGACTGCAAGGATGCTGCGACGGCCACCACTTCAAGGTTGGTTGTAACTTTGAATGGCTGCTGAACGAATGGCTGCTAACCAAGGACTGCCTGCGTGATGGAAGATCCAGTTGGGCCATTCTGAAGAACGTCCCACCTGCAAAGATCACTGCGCTGGGCGGAAGGAGCCCGGCCTCTCTTAGTGGAATCGGGCACAGAAAACGTTTGAAACCAATTGAATAAGCCTCTACGTTGGGGGTTTTAAGTGAGAGGTCCCGGCTACTGTTTTGCTCTCCAGACCAGCATCCTGTAAATTCGTCACCCTGTGAATTTTGCTACATTCTGCTGTAAAGATTTCCACCCGAACAGAAGGTGGAATTCACAAGAACCCAAAGTCTGAGCTGGAAACAGCTTGCAAAGCTCTTGGAAGCAAAGGCAACTGCGCTCCAGCAGGAACAGCCGACGCGTTTCCCGCAGACTTCAGCCCGAAAGAGGCTTCGTGCCACCTTCCCCACAAAAGCCTTGAGGAGGAGGAGGAGGAGGAGGAGGAAGAGGAGGAGGAGACCTTACCAGACTACGACTCTCGGCATCTCTCCACCTCCATCGCCAAAGAGAAGAGGAGTTCTTTCCTGTTAGCTTAAGTCACCCCGTCATTCTTCATACAACAGCTTCAAACGCCCCTCTGAAGGAACGGGGCAGAGAGGACCCCCCCACCCACCCGCCCTTATACATACACACAACCACAAGATCACAAATGGCTCAGAAAACCTCCTTGCAAATCTTCAGTGCCACGCGGGAAAAAGCCCTCCTTGTCCAGAGCTGCTTCCTGAAGACCACCAGGAGGGTCTCCGGTGCAGCAGGCAGGCGCAG